CAATCCTGGGAGATGGATTATAGAAAGGGAAACCATTATAAAGCCAGTAGCAGCAGCTATTCCCTTCCCGACCCTGAGATCCAATGGTGGTTACTCACGTGTGCAGCTGGGGTACCCATAGAAGCCCAGGGCACACTGGTTGCAGGCGTGTCCCGCAAAATTCGCGTGGCATCGGCACTGGCCAGCTGGGCTGCAGTTGTTGTCCACTGCACCCCGGGAGTCGCAGGAGCAAGCTGTAAGAGCAGGATTCTCAATAGCCTGACGAAACGTGTGATTCGTGGCCAACCACTGCTGGTCCGAATTGTCATTCAGCCCCACAGGAATTAGCCACTTCCATCAGAACTAAATTAATTTCTTAATCCCCTGGAGAGAGAGAGAATATTTTCAGCTAGAGTCATGGCCATATCAGCAAAATGCCACTGACGGTTTTTTACAGCCCATTCAATGTTTCTCAGCAGTTTAGCAGGCTAATGCACTAAAAAGACAAAAAAAGGAATAAACTGAGAAACCAGGTCACAGTGGGGTTGTGACAAGGAAGTGTGACTGATAAAAACTGCTTTGTCTTCCAGGCTTTGGCATGATCCATGACCTCCAGAACAAGCCTGCCAAATTCACAGTGCAAACAACATGGGTTTTGATTTCGAGAAACACCAAAGCCTTGCAAAACCAGGCAGGTTTTTCAGAAGGTGACAGACCAACAGGAACTGAGGGTTCATGTCCTTACCATAGCAGTGGGGGTAGGAGTGGTGCCCAGGGCTGCACTGCTCGCACCGCGGCCCAGCAAACTCGGGTTTGCAGAAACACCTCCCGACAGAGTCACAGCCTCCCGGCAGCGTCCCGACCGCGCTGCAGCCACATACTGCAACAGAGGGAAACCGTTGGCCCTGTGCTGGGAGCACGGGGCAAAGCTCATGGCAATATGAGTCTTTTTCTTGGGTTCTCAGACGAGTGTTTAGGTGTTGCTCTGTAAGTTCAAACTGTCGGTCTCTGCCCTTTGCATATATCCTCCAAAAATCCCACAAAACCATTTCCCAGTTGTCCTTCAAAACCCTGCCAGAAGACTCTGGCTTTGCGCGTGCCCCCCCAGGCCCACGGGAGGACAGATACGCACGCTGGCACAGAGGATAGCTGAAGTAGCCGGGAGCGCACTGGTTGCACGAGTGCCCTTCAAATCCTGTTCGACACAGACACTGCCCTGTCTCACTGTCACAGGTGCCATCGTACTGACCGGGGCCGGAGCACTGGCAGGCTGGAAAGCAACAAGGGCACTAGTAAATAAAGAGCTGCTTAGTCTTTCCTCTTCCTAGGAAACGAACCAGAGTGCCTGTTCAGTTGGGGCAGAAATCCAGTCGCTGGAGAAACGACAGGGAACACAGCTGACAGCAAGCATGCCGAGCCCACAGCTCACATCCATAGGGAATTTTGCAAGAGACCCCCAGGCTGGGGGGATGCTAGAAGGTCAGGGCTGGGTGGAAAATACCAGCAAAAGTCATGGGAATTTGTCACTTGGAAGTGAGGCTGGAGAATTCCTCCTCCCCCGTACAAGCGGAGGACAGGGAGAGGCACGCTCCTCCCCAGCAGGGAGGCGAGCAGGGCGAGCGTGGGGCCGCTAACCCCGAGTCACTCACGCTGGCAGCCGGGTCCGTAGTGGCCTGGAGCGCACTGGTCACAGTGTGTTCCCTGGAAGTTGGGTTTGCACACGCACATCCCCACCCGAGGGTCCTTGCGACAGGCGTTGCCTTCTGTGCCACCGGCGTAGCAATCGCAGTCTGGAGTGGGGACACACAACAAGCAACACCACACACGGCTCTCAGCTGATCTCTGCTGCTGGGCAGAGGTCCCATAAGGACAGGGAAGCAGTTGCTATGAGAGGCAACAACTCAAGCATTTGCCTCCTAATAGCCTTCCCACCACATGTCAATGTTTTAACCAAACTCTGCTCAGGCAACCAGCTCAACTGGCTCGTGGGGTTGCAGGGTGGTTGGGAGACCTCAGCATCACACAGACATTCAAGGTGCTGGTCAGGCAGCAGTGCAACACACAGGGCAGACAAACCCTGCTTGCACAAGCCCAGACGGGGCTGATTTTGTGCAGCACTGCCCAAGAGCTGTGTGGGAATAGCTAAAACTTCCAGCTAACCAAGATGGGGTTTGGGGTTTCTGTCTGGTCACTCCATGCTCAGCTGCATCTGAGAGCTTCCCACTGCCAGGGCAGGCGGGTGCTCCGGGCCAGCAACACTGAGGCCCTTGGCCAGCCCTACTTTCACCTACAGCAGTGGTGTGGGGTGCTGGGAAGGGAAGGGCAAAAACCATCCAAGAATCAGAGCCAGGGGGAGGTGGGGAAATGAGAAGGGATGTGAGAAATTCCAGCTCAGGAAAGAAAAACCTGTCTGGAAGATACGGAGTTTAAAATATCAGAAGGAAGGAAAAGGTTATCTGGAGCGCACTATGGAGCATGAGACAGGGGAGGACTCGGTGGGAAAGGAGATGAAAAAAAAGCACAAGGGAGGAGATGATCCCTTCGCTGCCTCCTCTCTCAGAACTACTTTGTGTCAGGGCTGTTCCATACAACATATGTGCCCAGTAAGCTGAAGACCTGATCTTGCACTGGGTGGTGAGATATAACTGCAATACTAGCATAGCGATTGCCAAAGCAGCAAGGAAAATTGCACTACTTACTTATTATCTGTCCCGCAGGGAGCACTTGTTCTCCAGTATCGTTGTGGGCGAAAGCTGGAATGGCTATGCAGAGAAAGAGACATTGCACAGGTCATCACACGCGCTCAAACAAATCCTGTTGAGATATCAATGGGTTGAGTAGTCTCAAAGCTGAACGGGCTGAATGAAAACGTGGAACTTGGAACAAAGTGCAGATATCCTACTAAAGATCCATTACAACCATTTTTAACCTGGGCTCTGGAAAGATGTCTTTCACAGAAAGTGAGAGATGAGACTCCAGTCAAACAGGAAGCTCTCGTGGACTCCAGAATGCCAGGTTCAGCCCAGCTCAGCTCTGGTCCAGCTTCCACCAAAGCCAAATGCAGGCTTGTTCCCACCTGCAGGAACTCCTCCTGGGACAGGAGTGCCACGTGGCACAGCAAAAAGGCACCTGGAGAGCAACCTCGGCTGGAGCTGTTGGCCCTTCCTGCACCCGCTGGGTCTGTGAAGTCCCAGACTTGGCCACCCCACAACCCTGCAACCCCTACTTACGGTAGCAGTGGGGGAAGTTGAGGTATCCCTCAGCACAGGCATCGCAGTGCTCCCCGGTGTAATTGGGCTTGCAGTAGCAGCGGCCAGTGAGGTCCTCGCAGGTGCCATCGGTGAAGTCAGACTCACAGTTACAGCCTGCAGAGAGGGCCAAGCCAGCAGTGGTTGTCATTAACGGAGACCCTTGGCCAGCCGTGAGCACCACAGAAGCATCACTACAACACAGAGCCTCTATAAGAGACCCCACTATCTGCTGTAAATTCTCTCCAAAAATAGAAAGTGCGATTTTGCCTCTTCAAAAGGGGTCTGGCTTCAGCAAGACGGATGTAACCGACTGCTGCCTAGAAATCCCTGTCTTAGGGCATGGAGAGCAACGGTCTGCAAGTGCCAGCTGAAAGGGCACAGAGATGACAGCTAAAACTGGATTGCCCTGCAGGCAACAGCAGGGGTAACAACACATTTTTAGCTCATTCCAGCCTTAGAACATGCCACCACTTCTGATTTCATGGTTGCTGCAGACACATATACTGTCTTCATGTACAGACGGCTGCATGCACACATACATTTCCATGGGCAATGCCAGCTGCAGCAGGAACTGCCCACATAGCTGCATCTCTTATGGTGCTGGACTCCCTACACCAGAAAAATCTTCCAGCCCAATCCTTCAGACCACCTTCGCCAGCATTTTCAAATCCAAGCAGACATCTACAGCCTGCAGAGGAAATCACACTCACGATAGCAGATGTATGGAGAGTCGATCGGGTGGTCAGGGGACCGGTAGTATCCTGGGATGCACCTCTCGCAGTTAATGCCAGTGGTGTGATGCTGAAAGACAGCGAGGTAGAGGGGCATCAGTTCCTCTGCCTGCAGGATTCATACTTATCTACCAGATATACTAAAAGCTGCAGGGTTCAGAGGGAGCAACTCAGAACTGTCAGCACACAGAAGACCTAAATCTGCTCAACATTCCACATACACTGATTTGAAAACAAAGCATTTCCTGCAAACTCTGTATCCTCCCACAAGCCCAGTCTGAGTTTCAGGTTCATATCTGACCTCAAGCCCATTTCACTTGCTTCGGACGGTAAAATGTCCTGACCGCTTTGTGCTATAAGGACAGGAGCAATCTGTTTCCTCCCAGCGAGAAAGTACAGCTACAAGTCACTCCAGTTTCATGCCACTGCACGAATTAACCAGCTCACAGTCACCTTGGGAGCAGAAAAGCTACTTTCCCATTTTCATTGGGAAGTTCAGAGGCTAAGGAGATTGGCATTTTGATGGTCAGAGAGAGACCCAGAGAGATAGCAGCACCTGAACACCGCAAACTAGCAGGGACTTTCCAATGTGCCGAGCACCAACCTATCCCTCCCAACGCACAGTGCCTCAGCAGACCTAACCCTGAAGCATCAGAAAGTAACAGTACTTCCCAGGAGACAGCTAGGAACCCAAGTGCTCTTTTAATTACTAGGGCACACTCTTTTAATCTACAGCAAAGAGACTAAATTTCCAGGAAGAGACCTGATTAAGATAACAGAAGGTGTGTGATGGGGTTGGCTGAGCTGCCAGCAAGGCTGAACTCCAGGAATCTGCAACAGCCTTTTCCAGGGCAGCCCTTCAGGCCTACCTGACAGTCAATGCAAACACCTCCCCCTTCAAACTTGTCTTCGTGACTTTTGCTGGCTTTGTGGCGATCCACCTCTGGGTCATAGTAGCAGTCATAGGCATGGCCGTTACAATTGCAAGCTGAAAATACAAAGAGGTGTTAGCTATGGTGCAACTCCACAGAGGTCCTTTGGTCACCAGTTGGATCTCAAGATATGAACCCTTCCTTGTGGGTTTGACACTGGATGGGTTACATTTCAATGACGAAAGATGCTCGAATGCATCTGGGGGATCACATGACTACCCAAGCTCCCAGAAATCTTCCAGTTCAAAAGCAAAGAAGCAGAAACTCTCTCACAAAGTCTACTCTGCAACCAAAAAAACGCAGCAGGCACAAAATCAGTGGTAAAATATGTGCAGGCATGCAGAGACGAGAAAGAGAAATTACTCAACTTTGGGGCCTCAAGTAGCCTGGTTTAGAGCGCAATGTTCTCGCCTCTTTTATCCCATCCGGGATGGAGGTGAGCTGTAAAGTTCAGCACACGGTGACGGTGCTCTTTATAAACTCACAGACCCAACTGTCCTTTGCTGTCCTGCGTCTATAAGAGAAGGTGGGATGTAGCTATGCTCCATGCTCTGCAATCCCACTGCAGCATAAATTCCACTGTCGGCATTTACCAAAAGCTTCTCTACATAAATAAAGATGTCCTGTATGTAAACACATCCAAACGTAATTCATCTTGGAGACAGAATTGAGCAACGAGACTTGCCTGCACAAACCCTTGGATACGGAGGAGGAACCGGAACACAAGCAGAATCAAAGTCCCGTACAGACCTGGTGGGCCTCCCTGTGTGAGCCTTGACTGAGCATCGTTAACCACTGTGCAAAATGTCCTCTCTGCAGGGCCAGATATCTCCATTTCACCCAGTGCCACACATCATAAACCAACCATTTGGGTGAATGGCTTCTCTACACTACAACGTCAAGGGGCTGGAGAAATGCAGTCAATCTGTGCTTTGCAAACAGCTGGAAAAGGAAGGAAAAACCCGACTCCAACTTACGCTGGCATTCGTTTGCGCTGTCCGCAGTGGCAGGCTTCCACGGGAACTGGT